AGATCTTCCGAAGCCTTTTTAGATCAAACTGGCTCTAAATAACTGATACATTAAAATATCAACTTTTAAAAATGTTTTATTATGCAAACTATTAAAATTGCCACATTAGTATAATATTCTACTTACTAACTATAGGTAGCTTAGAATTACTGTTTCTTTCTCTTTGGTAGATTATAATCTAGAGTTGTCATAAATACCAACGTTCAATAAATTGCCTTGATTTCAATTTAATAGGGCAGATTCAAATCATAAATTTATTTTAGACATTGTGATTATAGCATCACACCTCAATTTAATATGAAATTGTGGCACTCTGAATTTCATGCAAGCCTTAATAATTATTTTCTAAATGCAAATTTTGAAAACTAGATTTCAGCAGAGGATGAATTTGAAACGTCAAGCTAGCTATGCCTGGGAGGATATGCCAGTATTTACTTGAGTTGAGTTATGACACACATACATATATTTTACCAAATTGTTGATGAAATGCCATAGTTTATTTCTAATATATAGTTTAATGAAAAAGTGCTGTTTAAAAGAGAAGATAACATGGCAAAATGTTCCCTCCCTCTCTGATTTACTATTCATTTATCTTAAAATACTTGAGTGAGTAAAGAAACATGGAGTTTTAATTAATATTCTATAAGCAAAAGTAAAAGTGGACTTCCTAAAAGTCAACGTCCCTAGATAATTTTTTTAACTAAAAATGATCATTCACAAGCAACATCATTGGATGTTAGGAAAGCTAATTTCAACACACAGTTGGTATTCAATAGCTAAATAATTCTCTTAGCCCTAAAATGTGGAGGCAATTCAAGATGCTCTAGAGAGCAGAATAGATTAATTTGATAAAGAAACCCTTAGACACTCAGTTTAGGATTCGACATTTGAGCTTCATGGACCAATATACAGAAGAATATACTTTCGTTTTAACTGGGTGGAATCCATTTCCTCAGATTCCTCAATACATAGAAATTTAATTTTCAAAGAAAAATTTAGAAAACATGAGTCAGCCAGTTTATTAAAAAAGTGAATCACCCTCTTGCTCAAGTGCACCTGATAGTTAATGGCCGAAATATGACAACAATTAAGGGCTTTTGACTACACTCCCAGGCCTATCCCTTGAAGCACTCTGCCGCCCCACTCTATTTCATGTGAACACAAAAAAGTGTGGCTTTTATAAACATATCTTTTAGGGAATTTCAATCTTTAAAGAAAGCCTTTGAATAACAATTTAAAATATGTTTCTCTTTGAAAGAGCTTATTCTGTCAGTGCATATATTACAATTACTGAATGGGAAGAGAATAATCAAAGACAATTAAAATATCATAATACATTCATTTTTACTTGCCTTAATTTGTGCACAATTTTAAGCAATATTTTTAAAGATTATTTATAAATACCTAATCTATGTTACTTTCTTTGTATTGAGAAAATAATTTAGATAATAAAAAATTTCTAGGCTGGGGCGGTGGCTCATGCCTGTAATCCCAGCACTTTGGGAGGCCGAGGTGGGCTGGTCAGGAATGAGATGATCCTGGCTAACATGGTGAAACCCTGTCTCTACTAAAAAAATACAAAAAAATAGCCAAGTGTGGTGGTGGGCACCTGTAATCCCAGCTACTCGGGAGGTTGAGGCAGGAAAATGGCGTGAACCCAGCAGACAGAGCTTGCAGTAAGCAGAAATCACGCAACTACACTCCAACTCCTGAGAGGCAGAGTGAGACTCCGTCTCAAAAAAAAAAAATAAAATAAAATAAAAATTTAAAAAATCAATTTTAAATGTTATTTTTATACTAAAGGTTTAAGTAATACCTCAGTCTTATTAATTGTAAGAGAACTAAGGAGTTTTTTTCAACTTTTTTTGGTGGTATGTTATTGATTTAAGGCTGATTTAACATAGTTTCAGTGTGTATCTATCAGAAGTAAGACAACCTGGTTAAATGATATAAGTAGAAAAGAGGTGACAAGGTGATGATGACTGCTATTACAAATATTTGATGTCATGATGGTGTTCCTTTTGTAAGATGAAATGTAGTAAAATACTGACAGGAAGTCTAAACCTAGACATGATCCAGATTATTTGAATTTCAATTAATATGAAGTTTTTCTGTATATATTTTGGAATATATTTTTATTGATGACTCTTCTTAATTACATATATTGAGTACTTGTATTCCAACTTTCACAACACAAGGAGGATTTAAGGGACAATCTTCTTCTCTTCTGCCAAAATCAAACATGCAAAGACTCTCATGACAATTTCCAAGAACAAATTATATGGGAGCCAATCACTATAAAGAACAAATGTTCACTATTAAGTCCTTCTAATTCCTTGCTACTTATAAAGTGGTCACTAGCACATATCAAAGTATGTTAGAAATAGAGAAAAGGAGGCCCCATCCCAAATTTACAAAATCATACTCTACATTTTTAAAACATCTCTGAGTGATTCATATACATGGTTTTAGAAGCACTGCTTTAAATTTGGAGAAAGCATGAGAAAGAAGGAATTTGTGTAAACAATTGTATGTATATCTATTTTCTCATGTAACTAAGTATGCTACAGTACTAGTTATACAACAGAATATTATATACTACTGTATTTGTCAAGCACTGTGTGAAGACATTCATGAAATTTATTGCTGTGTTTTAAATCTCATAACAAACCTATATGATGAGAACTGTTATTGACATTTTGCAAAAGGAAAACTGAGATTTACAGAAGTAGACAGGACAAGATCACACAGACAGTAATGGGTAGGAGACAGTCTGACCAAAGAACTTGTGCATTTAATCATTATACCGGCTAGCATGTGGCTATGCGGAGATTTCAATTTATATCAAACTATGATGCCAATTTTTGAATGTAAAACATATAAATTATACAAAGACTATGATGAAAAAAAAAAAAAAAACTTATAGTACATAAGTCTTAAAGTCTAGGCTTTCAAAATGCTCCCTATCAGCCAATTTATGTTTTTTAAAATGGTAAAATACGCAATCAGAAAAGTTTGCATGGGTACAAATACTGGCTACTCATAAACAAAATAAATTTAATCTTCTATTCATGAAAACAAAAGAGTGAGTGATATGGTTTGGCTCTTTGTCCCTACCCAAATCTCTTGTCTAATTGTAATCCTCACATGTCAGGGGAGCTGGTGGGAGGTGATTGGATCATGGGGTAGTATTCTCCCTTGCTGTTTTTGTGATAGTGAGTTCTCATGAGATTTGATGCTTTAAAAGTGTGTGCCACTTCCCCTTTCGCTCTCTCTCCCTCTTGCTACCATGTGAAGTAGGTCCTTGCTTCCCCTTCAACTTCTGTCATAATTGCAAGTTTCCTGAGGCTTCCCAGTCATGCTTCCTGTTAAGCCTGTGGAACTGTGAGTCAGTTAAACCTATTTTCTTCATAAATTATCCAATCTCAGGTAGTTTTTAATAGCAGTGTGAAAACGAACTAATACAGTGAGATATTAAGAATGAATTCTAGGCCAGGCAAGGTGGCTCATGCCTGTAATCCCAGCATTTGGGAGGCTGAGCATTTAGTTGCCCCTGGGCCAGGGGGCAGCTAAAAGGCCCGCAACCCGGGAATCACTTGAGTTCAGGAGTTCAAGCAGGGGCAACACAGCAAGACCTCCTCTGCTGCTAAAAAAAAAAAAAGAAAGAAAAAAGAAAAGAAAAGAAATTAGTCTGGGGTTGTGGTGCACCCCTGTAGTCCCAGCTACTTGGGAGGCTGAGGTGGTAGGACTCTTTGTGCCCTGGAGATCCAGGCTGCAGTGAACTATGATGGTGCCACTGCACTCCAACCTGGGCAATACAGAGAGATCTTGTGTCAAAAATAAAAATAAAGAATGAATAAATTCTAAAATATTTAGATGTTTAGATGATCATATACATTAGAATATAAGTATTTTATCTGATTAAAAGATACATGTCTCTCCTTTAATCTGGACAGAAAAGTAAAGAATCAGACAGATATAAATATGTATTTTGTATTTTTCTTTCATTGGTTAACAATAATTTTAAAATAAATTATAAAGATAATACAGACTGCTCTATTTCACAGCAGTTCTTGGGACCAAAAAGTGAGCAAAAAATAAAGGAAATACCACAGCGATTTTTCTTATATTCAAGCTCATAACTAATATGATTAAAAATAGTTAACATTTACTGAACCATTGCTCACATGTAAGGCACTGTCGCAAGATTTTTTAAAATATAATTTAATCTTAACCATGAAATAAGAATTAGCTTTTCTTTCAGATGAGGAAACACTAAACTGTTAAATGTTGGCTTCGGGATTTAAACTTACGTAGACTGGCTCCCGTTCTCACAAATCATGCATATAATTTTAGGAAAAGTTTTATCTCCCATATATTTAACATATTTCAGATTTCCTCCCTCTTTAAGACAGAATACACACCTAATTTTTTTCTCTGAATTATTTTAGAGGTGTACATTACCATCTCTTTATAGTCACATTGCCTTAATGATCTTATAAGTGAGATAGATGCCATGGGTTTATTTGATCAATATATATGAATTACGCCTTTAGTGCCAAGTTTCCAGTTTTTTCATTCAAAAAAAGACCGAAAGATAAATTATGCTGTAATTTGTTTCCTTGCACCATCTAGTGGATTTAAATGACAACTGCGGCATTGCTATAAACGATTCACTAGTCAATCATGTAAGTCAAATTTTCAAACACATCCCGAGAACTGTTCCTAAAATGTTTCCAATCACACCACAACAGTGCATATTATTAAATTTTTCCGTTTTTCAGAGGATATCAGTTAAGCATGGCTGCTGAATTAATTAGCGAATGTTTAAATTTACAAATAAAGTAACATAAAATAATATCTTCGCAATCTTTTAATAATCGGAGATAATGGAAGTCGTACACTATGTTCATTGCGTTCCTTTTCACAAACTCAAACGCTCTCAAAGCCGCAGCGCGCTGAGAGGCTCCACGAGTCTGCGCGGAACCACTGCGCAGGCGCTCTGAGGAGCGGAAGCGGGGAGGCGGGGCTAGGCTCGACAGGGGAGCGGAAGAGGCCCCGGCGGCTGGGTGAGGCGCTGAGACGGTTTGGCGGTGTGTCCTGGGCCAGGCGCAGCTAAAAGGCCCGCAACCCGGGATACGCCAAAACAAACAGAAGGACCTGGGATTCCGGAGCAGTCGCCCCTGTCGCTGCTGCTGCCGCCGCGGACACCACCGACCCCGCTGCCAGAGGACTGGGCTCTGAAAGGCGTCTAGGCCTAGGCGCGGCCCGTGGAGCCAGACGTGTTGCTGCCGTGAGTAAAACGAGCGCCCTCTCCGCAGTCGTTTACAAATTAAAATGGAGGAAATTTCGTTGGCCAATCTGGATACTAACAAGCTAGAGGCCATCGCTCAGGAGATTTACGTAGACCTGATAGAGGATTCTTGTTTGGGATTCTGCTTTGAGGTGCACCGGGCAGTCAAGTGCGGCTACTTCTACCTGGAGTTCGCAGAGACTGGTAGCGTGAAGGATTTTGGCATTCAGCCAGTGGAAGACAAAGGAGCGTGCCGCCTACCGCTTTGCTCCCTTCCCGGAGAACCTGGGAATGGGCCTGATCAGCAGCTGCAGCGCTCACCTCCGGAATTCCAGTAGCTGCAAAATGAGAGTCTGAAAGTGGCCAGGACAATAACATAGACTGGTCCTGTGGCTTGGAGGAGTAAACTAAGTAGAAAAAAAGTAGAAAAATCAGACAAAAGTTCTAATTCCCCTTGAATATACTAGCATTTAAAAACCCAAAGTGGATAATTTAGGAATCCTTTTTTTAAAGTGTATTACCTGGAGCAAGCTCTGAAGCCCTGGGCAGGAGGAGCTGCACAGCCTGCGGGCCATGCAGTGCCTGTTGATCTCTAAACACACCAGGATGTGCGCAAGATTCTGTAGTGCCCCCCAATGCACAGGTGAGCAGTTGTGTGCCCAGCATATAAAATTTTTGGTTCCTCAGCCTTTCTGTCTGCCTGATGTCAAGGGCTTCCTGGACAGTTTGGACATCACAGTTCGTCAGGCCGTAATCAGTGGCCTGCAGTGGGACTGCCCCTTTGATATCTGAACCTTTGATATGGGCTTCTCTGAGACAAGTAAATGTCAGGTGCAAAATCTGGATACTAACATTTTCAATTTGTGAAATCCAAGAAAAAGAAGTCTCAAGTTTGATAGGGAAGCTCTGTAGCCTTGACTCCAGCAAGAAGAAAAGGTCAAAACCACCTATTTCCCAAAAGTCCAGACTTTACAGTGATTCAGCTGAGTTGAGGACAGCGCCTAGCATTTGGCTGAGCAGAGCCCTCTTCCTTGCCCTCCAACCTGGTGGCATAGGCTTGGCAAATGGACAACTTGGTTGTCCAGGCAGGCTGAGGATTCGATTATGATCCCCTGGGGAGGTAGCAGGGACCTCTGCAACTATGCACGATCTCTCAAACTTCAAGATTCATGTCTGGATGTGTTATGCTGTGGACATAAGTTTAGTAGGGCAGTCACTTCCTACTCTGAGTTACTGGTTACCTAGCCACTCCATGGGTGTGACTTGGTCATTAAGCCAGTTCACTACCTGCCTCCCACCCTGGGGTCAGGACTGAACTATAGAAGAGCATCATGGCTGTGCAGGAGGCTATGGTTTGAAAACTGAGCCCAGAGGGCACTTTCAGCTGCCCCCAATAATGTGAATGGATTAGTGCTGGGAGCCAAGGAGCAGGACTGGATTATCTCATCTGACTGTGTGCAGAATCCTGTTGAATGTCCCTGTTTCTTTGGTTGGGTAGTCAGAGCTCTGCTATGGTGAACATCCAGACTGTCACCACCTTCTCTCTGCCCCTCGAAAGGGGCAGTCCTTTCCACTTGGTCCCCTTTGGATCTTGACAAGAGGAGCAGTCCTTTTATTGTTAGATGTCAGAGAAAGACCTCCAAAATCTCCTGACTTTAGGGAATGGTATAGGGGAAGATGGGAAGTAAGAGCCACATATCAAACTACCCTCCACTTTATTCCCTAAGCGAGGGTGTATGAAGTATAAAGGGGTGGGAGCCCCGAGGTGAGCAGAACGGTGCTGCTTTATTTGAAATGTTTTCTTACCTCATTCTGTGCCCCAGTAGGGGGTCCAGCCTCATTTGTCTGGCTTGGCTCCATGTTCCTCCTGTCCCTTGCTCCACTGCCTATCTGGTGCCCCAGGTGCTGCTTCCACTCCAGCTCTCACATTGACCAGTTTCAGTTCAGCTCTTAATGCTCCTGCTTCTGAAGCCTGCCCAATTTCTTTTTTCTTGGCCTCTGTTTTTGTTTTTGTTTTTGTTTCTTTTTTCTTTCTTTCTTTTGTCTCTTGTTTTTGTAGAAGATTCAGAAAAGAATCTTTCTTATGGCTCCCTCTGTTGGGATTGGAATTGGAAGAGAACTTAATTTTTTGTATTTAAAATGCAGTATCATGCCTAAGCATTTCTCCTGTATAGGACTGCCTTGCTAGTGTGCCCTCTTGCTGTTTCTTACTTCATAAGGAGTTGTATCTTCCCACCTCCATTTCAATACTGCTTGTTAGGACCTAAGCAGAAGAGCAGTAAAGGCTGATTGACACACAGGGGGATGGAGTTGGTCCTTATCCGTTCTCTAACCCTTGCTGTGCATGTATCGGTCCTTATCCCAGAAGGTACTATTTAGACTGTGTAGACTGATTTAGATTGCATACTGTAGAGGATTAAGGAAACCATAGAGATTGGGCCTTGGAACTGTTACTGCCTTCTCTTAGAGTTGTCCTGATCAGGCTTGGGGCCTAGTTACAGATTAGTCTTAAAGAGTCACAGTAACTTTTAAAAAAATCAAACCTTGCAAAAGCTAAAATAATTTGGAGATATCTTTGCCCTTGACTTGTAGACATCTAAGAGGATGAAGAAAGGAGAGTCTAAGTGAGACTCTGGCCTACTTCCTAACAATGTCTTGGAAGTGGGATGATAGTAAAGGAGAAAGGCCACGGTCCAATCCCTCTACCTTCAGATAGGGAACTCAAATCCTGAAATTACTGTTTTCGTTCTGGCCTTTTCTCCTGGTTAGAGGAGGAAGTGGGAAGTAGTTTTGAGTAATACTTTGTTCATATTACTCTCTTTTTTTGTTTTTGTTTTTGTTTTTTTGTTTGTTTCTGGCCCCTCTACCAATAGGGCAATAGCCCCCTACCCTGGATGGGTATAAGGTGGGCTTGGTCCAACAGGTGCCCAGAGGGTACAGACTCCTTTCTGGGGAGAGAATGCTCCCTACCATATAGTTGACAGTGGTTAGGAACTCTCCCTTTCCCTACCTATCTTCCTTTTAACAACAGAATTCCTGTTTTTCCCTTCTTGATTAAGTGTATTGATCACCCTGCAATCCTATTATGTATCTGAGTGTGTGTGTGTGTATGTATGTGTTATGGGGGAAGGGGGGGTTCTTTAAAATTTCTGTGGTTTGTGGCTTTTTCTTCCATACATTAGTTCCCACCATCGCATGCCCAGGGACCACTGCCTGGCATTATCGCATGCTGGGATCATCGGGGGAGGGTAGTGAAGCTCACCACTGTCCTTTGTTTTGGAGATTCTTATTTTTGCATAAGTAGTCCATCCTATGCAGATAGCTGACTAACTGTATTCCCCTTTCCCCTATGGCTGCTGATGTAAATAAACTGCATCTCCCCATTGGTAAACAGTAATAAACAAAATTTTAAAAAATGTCTATTTGGACTCTATATGCATCTTTTAAAACTGTATGTTTTCAGGCATCGACATAATAAGATAAATGTTGAATTAATTGTTGTTGAACCTTAATACTTTCTCCCTAACAGGAGTGCTATCAGAATGGAGAAACTGTCCACCCTTGTTTCTCAATTTGGCCTGCAAATTTAACTGTCTGTATCATACAGTGAAAGAGTCAAACCATATACAATCATCCCTTTTCCATATGAGGTAAGAAGGTGTTAAAGTAAGTCCAGTGCTGTCACTAAAAGCCCACTGTGAAAGATAGTTCCATTTGAATTGAACTCAATATATCCTAGTATGTACATTTTACCATCAATTTAAGCTAATATCCTTGCTCTCAAAAGGTAAGTGATTCACAACAGACGATGGTTCTGCCTTTGTAATTTTTTTCTCAGTACTTAAAAAAAATTTACCTCAACAGTTTAGATCTTTCATTTCATTTTTAATATTAATTCTGAGGTTTTTCATCCCATTCCTAACCCACAGTTTGAGCACTTTCCCTAGAAACTACTTAGTGATCCTGTGTCCTAATAAGTCTCTTGCTAAGTGTTCTAATTTATTAAAGTTTCATATTGGAAATAATATTGAGATTAATAAAAATTTCAGAAATGGGCCCAGAGAAGAATCTTTGACTCAATAGGATACCTCAGGGAAGCTTATAGATGTGTAACATGGTATTGAGTCTCTAGGAGCACTCAATGTACTTGTCACTGTCCAGTTTAAATAGACCAGGGCCAACGTGGTGATTTGGGAAAACTTAAAAATTTGACGTGTAAAACCCATGATGCAACCATAACAAGAGAAATTCTTCAAATGAAATTTCACCAAGATTATTTTGCCTTAAGTAAGATTTCTACTACTTTTATTAAAATTCACTGTCGGGATCTACTATCAATTAGTTTTCAAATGCGTCTGCAGCAAATATTTTTGGTTCCTATTTTGTAGGTTTGGAGTTTAATATATTTAGTACTAAGCTAATTAGTTTTCTAAAAAGATAATTGCAAGACCCATGCTTTACCAAATACTTGACAATGGGACTTTGAAGGTTATTATGTTTTCTAATTAGTATGATCTTTAAAGAAAAAAAAAAAGAAAAAACACATCGCATACCTTTTAACTACCCATGTTTAACTTCCTAGATTTAGCATTTTAACTACAGCATGTAGCATCAGGTCAAGAACCTGATAAATGATTGCTTGATGTTGACAAAGACAAAATGAAGTATGCTGAAGTAACTACAAATTCAGGAAGAACTTTCTTTGCACACATTAATAAGTAAAATTGCCTTCTCTTAAGACCTATCTGAAGTGTTGTAAAGTTTTTCTTAGAATTTTTTAAAAGAGTTTTATGAATAAACCATTTATGTGCTAAAAGCACAATAGTTACTAAATTTATTTTCATGTTGGTATTTAATTATGGTTAACGAATTGCCAGTTTTCAAGTCAGCGAGAAATAATATCAGATTTCAGAAGTTTTTCTCTGCTGTGAAGGATTATGAGCTCTCTGATTTTCATTTATTTTCCAAAAGATGCCCATAATGTTGCTTTGGAGGACAGCATTAGAAGTGATGTTCCTATTCAAAAAGGTTTTGCGGATAAACCTTAAACTATTGGGATTTTTTTGTTTGTATTTTTCCATTTTTGAAAACATTTTCAATCGTATATTTCTTGAGACTCATTGGAAATATGTGAACCAAAAAGTAAATACTAAATTGATTTTAGAGATGAAAAAAATATCTTCAGCAGCAGTGACTTGCCCATAGTTCCAAATGCAAAAATTTGCAAGTGGTGGAAGCAAAAGTAGAATGCTGGTGTTGTGACTCCTAGGTCAGTGGTCTTTGTTGAAGCAGTGGAATAATAACTAATTAAAAACAAAACAATGAAAAATCCATGATTCTTATGAACAACCTTAGGGCAATGAATTTGAAAACAGAAAAAAGGGAAGTCTATTTTAAAATAGAACTCAAAAGTAACTCAAGG